CTTCTTCACTGTTTTGTTTATGTGTCCTGACCATGTAAGATCCTCAGATCTTTGTTTTGTGCACAAAAAAAAGATTAAGAGATGTCTACTGGTGGTTAAACAATAGACTCACAAGTTCAGTCTGCCATAACCTCATGTCTCCTTTGCCTGACTAATGACAAAACTGCATATACACACCCCGCTCCTCTCCAGCCCATCCCACTGGCTGATGGACCATGAAATAAAACTAGGTTTCGTCATTGTTGAACCCTCTGATGCAGCAATTCCTGCCTATAGATTTGCCATATAATTGACTGACTATTTCTCTGTCTGACCCGAGCTTGCCTTTTTACCTTGTGCTAGTACTAATGGTGTTATTCAGTTTCTCTCGTCTATAGTGTCTATAGTCATCATGTCATCATGACAACCCCAAAAACATCGTAACAGATAACGATAACACACAGTTCAACTCTGAAGAGTTTGCCTCATCTTCCAAAATACAGGGATCTCTCACAGCAGAAAATCTGTCTACTACACAACTGCAAATGGAGCGATTGAACCATTTCATCATGCACCTGTATCGAGACAGCAATCTAGCAGTCACAGCCATGGAAGGAGAATGTTTTGGATTGGCTTCAATTTTACTGTGCAACTACTACTTCTGTCACCATGAACTCCTGTATGGCAGAAAGATGCATACTAAACTGGACACCACTCAGTTAAGAAATATCAGTTAAAAATGTATCATAGTATCATTCCCAGCTCATCGATGAGCTACTCCACATGTGTATGAGGACTCCATTCACACTGTAACAGTTGGTGAAATGTTAGTATTTGACCACTAGGCGGAGCTCTTGTAATGATAATGTAACTAACGCATTTTATTTTGTATGTTTTATTTTTTGTGTTGAGCATGTTAACATTTTCCTTTTTTGCCTACCGGATTGGTGTAAAGTTAATTTGATACATGGAAAGTAACCAGTTAATTTTGTAAGTATAAGGTAAGGGCAGAGGTCACTTCCTGTTTTGGGAAGTAAGGTCAGAGAAGCTG